AGAATATGGAATGGAATGGAATGGAATGGAATAGAATATAGAATGGAATGGAATGGAATAGAATATGGAATGGAATGGAATGGAATAGAATATAGAATGGAATGGAATGGAATAGAATATGGAATGGAATGGAATGGAATAGAATATAGAATGGAATGGAATGGAATAGTAGAATAGTAGAATAGAATAGAATAGAATAGAATAGAATAGAATAGAATAGAATATGGAATGGAATAGAATATAGAATATAGAATGTAGAATGTAGAATGTAGAATGGAAGAGAAAAGAGAGGAGAGGAGAGAAGTGAAGAGAAGAGAAGAGAAGAGAAGAAAAGAAAAGAAAAGAGAATATAGAATGGAATGGAGTGGAGTGGAGTGGAGTGGAGTGGAGTGGAGTAGAGTAGAGTAGAAATCCTGCTTTCTAGATAATCTAAATCGTGCAGCACAGCTGTTCCCTCCCTCCTCGCTGTTCTACTTACCTTTGTAGACTCAGAAAAGGCTTCTTAGCGCCTTTGGTGCACATGCGCACCAAGCACACATTTGGCGCCCATGTGCATGTGCGCGCAAAGCAAACCGATAGCAGACTTCAGAGCATTTCACTCCTGAAAGAATCCCTTGGAGTTCAATTTGTGACGGATGCATTACTCGGAACCTGCAAACGTACACTTATTGATATTGGATTTCTAATTTCCGATTGAACTCATGCAGACCCTAAGAGGAACAGCCAAAGAGCCAGATGTGGCCTGAAAGCTGGGAAATGCCCAGGTCTGCCTTAAAACTTTGCACGACTCTAACAAACAAGGGTGGGACCCAATGGCTCATTGGCTAAAACGCTGCACTTATCAATCAGAAAGGTCAGCAGTTCGGCGGTTCGAATCCCTAGCGCCGCGTAACGAAGTGAGGTCCCGTGACTTGTCCCAGCTTCTGCCAACGTAGCAGTTCGAAGGCACATTAAAAATGCAAGTAGAAAAATAGGAACCATCTTTAGTGGGAAGGTAGCAGCGTTCTGTGCGCCTTCGGCATTGAGTCATGCCGGCCACACGACCACGGAGACATCTTCGGACAGCGCTGGCTCTTGGGCTTTGAAGCAGAGATGAGCACCGCCCTCTAGAGTCGGGAACGACTAGCACATACTGTGTGTGGGAGGGGAACCTTTACCTTTAATAAGCAAGAACTGTTAACGGGCTTGCTCAATGTTTCCTGCTGACTATTTGGTGTTCATTAAACAAAAAAGCAAAAAAAATAAAAATAGACTGGAGCTTACTTACATAAAGACTAGAGAATGTGGTGTTTCCTGTCTTTAAATATTGGGCTTGATGAAAAGCAGGGACTTCTCTTTTCTGGTGCCAGAATGGATATAATGATGGTGTAATTCACAAAATATATGAGCCATTAAAATCCCGTGACATCTCTTCTCTGTGCTAAAGACTGTAAGCGGATTAATGGGCCCAATAAATCTATTCCCATAAGGAAGACTATAACAAAATNACTCTGGAACGGCTCAAGCAATTTCAACCAAACTTGGTACACAGATGACTTATTTCTGGAAACAAATACTGTGGGGGTAAGACACCCCTAACACACCTCGGGGTATATTTGTGTGTCTGTCTGTGTGTTCCAGCGTAACTCTGGAATGCCTGGGCCGCTGAAATGAAAAGGAATGAATTATATCTATAGTGTCAAATCACAGTACTTTTGATAGTGATCGTGTACATTTTGGATTCAAGTCGGTGTGTGTGTCTCTGTGTTCCAGCATTACTTTGACTTGACACTATAGATATAATTCATTCCTTTTCCTGTCTAATGCAGGGTTAGCATAAATAAATATCCGGTCAACGCCGTGTTGTCAGCTAGTCCTCTTTAAAATTATCCAGGGTAGCAACAACACACCTGTTGAGAAGAACATAAAGCAGACATCCTCCACCTGCTGCTCTGTTGTTGTCTCCGACCACAACTTCAGTCTATTTTGGATGAAGTCAGCTCATTTTCTCTCGGATTTCATGCCTTAAGATTCTACTTTGCAACGGTTTGAAACCGGAGAAATAAATCCTTTATGTACCCAATTTTTCCATTCCGGACCTGTACAATGTAGGCCGGAATATGCATAAAAGAGAAAATAAAAACCCTTTTCAGCAAAATCTCTCTGTCCCTTGCAATCCAAACCTTTGATTGCCTTCTCTTATACCCTGCTTTTCAGTGCAGGAGTAATACAACCGGAACAGAATTTCCGCCAAGGAAGATAAAATTGGATAATAAAGAAATAGTACGTTGTGAAATTCCCTCCCTCCTTCTCCCAGACCAAACGTGCCTCTCATCTTTCCAAAATCAGTCGTTTGTAACTAGACACCAAGTGCCTACAGGCAGGGCTATCTGTCCTGCCGTGGATTTTTTCTCCCCATATTAGGGGAAAAAATGAGTAATTGTATGCTTGTAAAACATCTTAGCTGGAAAGGCATTTTTAAAGTTCTGGTGAGATAAGAGAACTGTATTGTGCTGTTATTTATTTGCTCTTTGCCTGAAATAATTGTATGTTTAGGGAGGGGGACTCAGTGGGACTGAGAAAAATTGCCATGTCATTCTGGCTCAATCATTCCTAGTATTTAAAGTAACCAAAGTCTTTCTCTCTCTCTTTTTTTTTTTCAAGCGTCACTTCTTCCGAAACCTTGGATCCATTTTAGCATATGCATTTCTTGGAACAGCAATTTCCTGTTTTATGATAGGGTGAGAATTCCTACCCCTTTCTGCTTCTAAAAATTGTTTCCTGTTTACATCCTTTGCATATTACCTAATCAACAATTCTCTTGTGAGCAGCTGCAATGCCAGAGGTTAAAACCATGAGAACAATAAGGATCCGGCAATTAAAGCAGGCACAGCCTAAATCACAACCAAATGAACAAGAGCAAGGCAAAGGCCTCGTCGCCTTTTTAAATGAGAAGCCCGAACAATTCCAGGCTGGTTTGGATGTGTTGATAAACAAACCCAGTTTTCAGAGTTCTGTGATTTCCCTTCATGCCCATTGTATAACAGAATAACTCTGTTATTCTATGAGACGTTTCTGCTCCATGGCAGATTGCACAGAATTGAACATGTAGAATGAACTATGGTTGGTTAATCTTAATTGTGATGGTTCGACCCAATCACTAAACTGCTTTGAAGTGGGTCCATCTAGGTTTTGTTTAAGCAGAGACGGGACAGACGTTTGTCTGAAATGGTACAGGGTCTCCTGCTTGAGCAGGGTGTTGGACTAGAAGACCTCCAGGGTCCCTTCCAACTCTGTTATTCTATGAGGATCTCCTGCTTGAGCAGGGGTTGGACTAGAAGACCTCCAGGGTCCCTTCCAACTCTGTTATTCTATGAGGATCTCCTGCTTGAGCAGGGGTTGGGACTAGAAGACCTCCAAGGTCCCTTCCAACTCTGTTATTCTATGAGGATCTCCTGCTTGAGCAGGGGATTGGACTAGAAGACCTCCAAGGTCCCTTCCAACTCTGTTATTCTATGAGGATCTCCTGCTTGAGCAGGGGGTGGGACTAGAAGACCTCCAAGGTCCCTTCCAACTCTGTTATTCTATGAGGATCTCCTGCTTGAGCAGGGGATTGGACTAGAAGACCTCCAAGGTCCCTTCTAACTCTGTTATTCTAGAAGGATCTCCTGCTTGAACAGGAGGTTGGACTAGAAGACCTCCAAGGTCCCTTCCAACTCTGTTATTCTAGAAGGATCTCCTGCTTGAGCAGGGGATTGGACTAGAAGACCTCCAAGGTCCCTTCCAACTCTGTTATTCTATGAGGATCTCCTGCTTGAGCAGGGGGTTGGACTAGAAGGCCTCCAAGCTCCCTTCCAACTCTGTTCTTCTGCATGAAAATTCTATATTGAAGATTTAAAGCGTGTCTGGATTTAGATGCCATGATGTGATGGCTAAAGAGAATGTGAAAGTTAACTCCTCCCTGTTGAGCTGGTGGCCGACTCAGACAGTGAGGAGGTTGGGGAGGAACATGGCCCAGTCCTGGAGTCCAGGGAAGGCTCTGATGAGGGCTCTGTGTCAGAGGCAGAGAGGGGGCCAGGGCTGTCCAACAGTTATCAGCTGCCTTCAGAGTCAGACTTCAGTGAGGCAGACGAACAGCTGGAGCCTGTTCCTGATGTGCGCATACACAGAGCTGCCAGGAGAAGGGAACAGTTAAGGAACAAGGGCCCACTTGGGAGTAAAGGCACAGGTGGACGGTGAATGGCCCCTCCCATAGGATATAAAGAGGAAGGAAAGGGGAGTGGAGTTTTCAGGAGACATTTAGTTCACTTAGTGTGAAGATTTGTTCATGACTCTTTTTGCCAAGCATTTTCTTGTACGGCGTTTGGAAGATATCGGCCTGGCAGCTCTCCAAGCCTGATGAGGTCTGTGGTCGTAAATTCGCCCTTGAAAGACTGTTTGCCGGGACTTTGCTGGATGTGGATGAGAGGAATTCACACGAGCGTGATAAAAAGGGGTTTTGTCGGGGCAAGGAGTCCACTTTGGTATTTGGGGAAGCCTGGCTCAGAATACTCCCAGTTCCTAGCTCTCAGGGGAAGAAGAAAACACCTGAGCCGAGCAAACGACTTTTAGGTTGTTAGGATTGAACCCATATGTGCTTCCCAGAAACTCACAGGCTGCCAAGAGCGGGTGCAGGAAAGAGTGATTGCCGAGTCTCCATAAATAAAGAATACACCTAGTCCTCGACTTACAACAGTTCATTTAGTGAACATTCAAACTTACAACAGCACCCCCAAAAAGGGTTAGGACAACTTTCCACACTTCTGACCATGGCAGCATGTCCATGATCATGTGATTTACATTGGGATGCTTGGCAACTGGGTTCGTCTTTACGACGGTCGCGGTGCCACGCGATCCCGTTCTGCGACCTCCTGACAAAGCTAGATTCCCTTCGCAACCGTGTTACTGGCTTAACAACCGCCGTGATTCGCGGCGAGGAAAGTCATAAAACGGAGGCCCAAATTCGCTTAACGAATGTCTCGCTTAGCAGCAGGAATTTGGAGGCTTGGTTGTGGCCGTAGGTCAGTGGTGGGTTGCTCCTGCTGTCGCCACCGGTACGCTGCTCGTGGTCTGTTCATGCACGTGCCGGACGTGCGCTGCGCATGCATGCACACTCCACCGCCCCTGTGGCACCCATCTGATTGTCAGAGGTCTCGCAGGCGCCCCACGCTGTGCGCATGTGCGCCCGGTTGTTTCAAAAACAGGTATGGAACACGGGTGGGCCAGGTGAGCCACTGTACGGGTACGGTGGCCGCTGCTCCCGACTACTACCAGTACAGCTGTACCGGGCCGTACCGGCCGGAACCCACCACTGCCGTAGGTTCAAGGACTTCCTGTCTTGAGGTTCAGCTTGACAGCGATGCCAACTCTGTTGTGTTCCACAGGTCCATCATGTATGGCTGTGTGGCGCTGATGAAAGTGATGGGGCAGCTTGGAGGAGACTTCTATTTTACCGACTGCCTGTTCTTCGGTGCCATCGCCTCCGCTACAGATCCTGGTAGGTTGTAGGTGGGAACCAGGGCCCCTCGTCAATAATGCCCTTGGGAACGGACAATGGAGTTGATTTTTTTTCTTGTTTTGGCTTCCTTGTGGCCTGCAAACGTGGAGGTACCATTTTGGAATACAGTGAGATCCACCTTGATGGATCAGGTCAGGGGAGGTCTGCATGCCCACCAAAAGCCCATCGAGACGGTGTTAGTAACCTTGAAGTTCAAGCAGCGTCTGCTTTATGTCACAAGAGGGGAAAAAAAGCCACAAGAGAATTGTGTCCTTGTGTCTGAGCTTCTTGAAAGGATATTGATGTAGCAAGGAACTAGGATGGGATAGGAATGGCCGCTCAGCCTTACAGGAATCTCGTTAAGATTCCTGAGTATGTTTGAACCGCTCAAACTATCATAAGGAACAGTCTTCTTTCAACTTTTCATTTATTCCATGAAGTCCATTGTCAACCCTAAAGCTGACCTGACCTGCGCCATGTTGGAGCATCAGTGTTGCCACACCGGAGCTGAGGGATTAGGGAGTGGTGGTGTGGTTAGAGGTAGCTGGGCCTGTGTAGCCAAAACAAAATACTTTCTCTTGAGAACCAAGGACATTCTCACGCCTGGAGGGAGGTCACCAGACTATCAGACAGCTTTGATTGGACCAGGTGTTCAATGTTCAATGTTTATTACACTAGTATGCCGCCCTATTCCCGAGGGACTCAGGGCGGCTAACAAACAAGGTGGGGAGGGGGGAAATACAGAAAAACAAACAAAGACAAAACAAATACAAAAAAACAGCTTAAAAACAACAAGGTGAACTGATGTTTGGGGTTGTGGGAAAGCTTTCTCTCTTAACTAGTTGAAAACCACGGGAATCTTTAGAGTAGGTTTCAGCAGATATGTGCCAATATGGTATCCTCTGAGGAATCTACCTGCCTCAGAACTTGTGATGGAAGAATCCATACGAAGTATTCACGGATGACTGGGGTGGACTGTCCTAGAAGCTGGGAAGAAGTTCCCCAAAGATGGGCTCCACTCTGAGTCCAAAACCTCGGAAGACAAAACCTCTAGTCCTGGTGTCCAACCCAGATTGGATCCTGTCTTATAAGCATTAGTTGGTTTTTTTTCTTACATGGGTGTTTGCATCTCTGTTGTATTTTGAAGACTTGAGATGTTGCCTTGTCAATAATGCGGTAAGCTAACTTGGGATTCTGGCAAATTCTTTGCTCCTTTTTCTTGGCTAGTTACGGTCCTCGCCATATTCCATGAACTTCAAGTGGACGTTGAGCTCTACGCCCTTCTCTTTGGAGAGAGTGTCCTCAACGACGCGGTGGCCATTGTGTTGTGTTCGTAAGTTGTGTGTTTTTTGCCTGTTTCCCCCACTTCCCCCCCAAAAAAACCAGCGGAGGCAGCTCAAGAGCCGAAGTGGCGCAGTGGTTAAATGCAGCACTGCAGGCTACTTCAGCTGTCTGCAGTTCGGCTGTTCAAATCTCACCGGCTCAGGGTTGACTCAGCCTTCCNTTAGGCAAGAAAGCCAGCTGGGAGACTGGGCCAATCACCAGGAGACTGGGAACTCTAGTCTTAGGCAAGAAAGCCAGCTGGGAGACTGGGCCAATCACCAGGAGACTGGGAACTCTAGTCTTAGGCAAGAAAGCCAGCTGGGAGACTGGGCCAATCACCAGGAGACTGGGAATTCTAGTCAGGCAAGAAAGCCAGGTGGGAGACTGGGCCAATCACCGGGAGACTGGGAACTCTAGTCTTAGGCAAGAAAGCCAACTGGGTGACTGGGCCAATCACCAGGAGACTGGGATTTCTAGTCCTACCTTCAACCCTGAAAGCCCGGGGGATGACTTAGGGCCAGTCCCCCCCTCTCAGCCCACCCCACCTCGCAAGGTTGTTGTTCTGATTCACATAGGACGAGAAAAACCCACTGGAGATGTTCACCGCCTTGAGTGACTCGTTAAAACAATGCGGGCGAGATACAAACGAAAATCAAAACCAGCCCCCCCACCCCAGATTGCAGGCACCTCCGGCCTCCCCACACAAGGCTGCCCAGCCTTAACTCCTTGGAAGGCCGGGAGGGGGGGGGACATCCCTGCCCCACTTTCAGGGAGGGGGGAGACTCTTCCATAGGGCAGGGGCAATGGCAGAGAAGGCCGCCAATCTCGGGTTTTTTTTTAACCAACGCGGTTCCCAGCAGAGGGAGGTTTCTACCGGTACGGCCAAACCAATAGTAACTTGGCGTCCTGGGTTGCTGGCAGTAAGCCACCCCTGGTCTCCAGCATCCCTACCCTGCCTGGCCAGGTGGGCTTGGCCTTGTGCCCCCCTCCCATGGTGGAGAAAAGCCCCTTCCTCTCACCTTTCCTTCCTAGATCTTGGAGGCTGCAAGGATCCAAACCCCCAACCAGTTTCCCCAGCCCAGTGCCGCCATTCTAAAGAAGTACCTCATCGACGTGGGATACGACTTGGTTGGTAAGTCTTTACGGGAGCCGCAGGAGGTGGTGGGTGGGGTGAGGTAGGAGGGTCCTCTGTGGTCCCTTAACCTTCTCCCTCTGTCCTCCAGATGATGCCGAACCTCCCACCTCCCCTCCCCATTCCTCATGCACCCCGTGCCAGAGCGAGGGCGAAGACCCCCCGACGCCACCTCTCTCCCCACAGCTAGGCAGGAGCCGAAGTGAGGACTTCGCTTCCTGCAACTCAGAAGGGTAAGACCTTGGCCTGGGCAGGGAGTCCTCGACTTAACAGCGGCAGTTGGGGGCCAGAATTTCCGTCGCTAAGCGAGAACGTTGCTTGAGCGAGTCTTGCTCCCATTTTGCGCCCGAGTGGTTAAGGGAATCCCTGCAGATGTTCGTACAGGTAGTCCTTTGAGTTACGGCCACTACTGACCCACATTTCCGTTGCTAAGCGAGACATTTGTTGTAAGGGAGCCTTGCCCCATTTTGCGAACTTTCGCGCCACAGTCGTTAAGGGAATCATCACGGTTGATAAGTTAGTCCCATGGTCGTTAAATGAATCTGGCTCCCCCATGCTTGGCAGAAGGCTGCAAAAGGAATCACGGGAAACACCCCACCCCACCCACGGGATTCCATGACCGTCACAAATATGAGTCATTTGCCAAGTGTCCAAACTTTAATCGCGTGACCGAGCCAAAGCTGCCATGGTCATAACTGTGAAAAATGGTCACAAGTCGCTTTCTTTAAGGGTGGTTCTAACTTTGAACGGCTGCTATACAAACAGTTTTAAGACAAGGATTACCTGTAAGCAGGTCGTTAAGTGAATCCGGCTTCCCCTATTGACTTTGCTCGTCCGAAGGTCGCGAAAGAAAATGACCCTCTCACCGTCAGAAATACGAGTCAGTTGCCAAGCGTCTGAATTTTGATCGCGGGGGGACGCTGCAACAGTTGTGCGGAAAATTAGTCCCTTTTTTTCCCCCAGGGCTGTTGTAACTTTGAACATTTGCTAAACAAATAGTCGTAAGTCGAGGACTCTTCCCCTTCCCTCCTGCTCCTTTTGCTTCCCTTGTTGCTTTTAAATGACTCATAGCATCCGCTTTGTTTTAATCTGCAGGGATTCGCACAGGGAGCCCTGGGAAACATGTAAGTTGTGTGATGATCCGCGGCGGATCAAATTTCCCTCAAAACTCCCATGTTTCTGACAGGTTCCCAGAACAAAGTGATCACACACATGCGCACACACAGGAATCCAGGAAAGTGCAAACATTCGGCACTCGACCCTCCAGGAATTCAGGGTTTGTTCCCGACAAATGCCCCTCCCCATAGTGTCTCCTTAAGGCTCAGTCCCCGGGTGTGCCTTGTTGAAGAGGAGCAAGGCGCTTTCTTCCCGAGTGGTTGGGTCAGCCTGCTCTGTTCTCGCCTTCTCTCCACTCTCCGTGCTCTTGGATCAGGAGCGGGTGGTCCTTGCTCCTCGCATCGAGCTCCGTCTCTTGTGTTCACTGCTTAGCCTCTCCTGGTCATCCTGCCTCCCCCGCCCTCCTCCCTGCCTACAAGCCGTCCCAATCCTGAAAGGTCCTGGCCTGACTCGGCTTGCTCCTCCCCACCTTCCAACGAAGCCACCCCCTCGCTCTCCGTCAGCTCGTTTGGACCGGGGCATGATAGGATATCGTCATTTCGATATCCTTAACAGCCCCACGTAGGGCAACCTGTGACATTATACAAATCCAATCCCACTTTACACAGTTGTTAAGTGAGTTGTTGCAGTTGTTAAGTGAATCCGGCTCCCCCCCCCCCCCCCCGCCCGCTCCCCCAATGGACTTTGCTAGTTTAGAAGGTTGCAAAGTGGGATCGCGCGACCCCAGGATGCTATGACCGTCATAAATGCGAGTCGGGGACCGAGTATCGGAATTTAGATCACGTGGATGCCCCAACGGGCGTTAAGGGTGAAAAACAGTCCAAAGTCACCAATGACACCGTAACTTCGCTAAAGGAACGGTTGTAAATTGAGGACTACCGGTAATCTATCCAAAGGCTCTGAATTTCTCAACTCCGTGCAGGATTATAAGCGGATCTTAACTCCTGACCCGGCTAGATACATTTGACATTCACATGTGCATTAAAAACCCTGGTTTGAGCAGAGAAAACAAACCAGGTGGAGACATGGGAAGGGGACTTATGGGTCAGGAAGCCACTGACGGAGGAGAGGATACAGGTAGTTCTCGACTAACGACCGCAATGGAGCCCCAAAATTTATGTTGTTGAGTGAGACATTTGTTAAAGTGGGTCTTCTCCTTGGAAAATAAAATCATTTTCTTTCTTTCTTTTGTTCTTTTTCTTCCTTCCTCGTTTTCTTTGTTTCTCCTCCTTCTCTTCTTTTTGTTTCTTTCTTCCTCCTTTCTGTTTCTTTCTTTTTCTTCCTTTTTCTTTGTTTCTCTTCCTTTTTCTTCCATTTCTTCTTCCTTTTCTTTCTTCCTTCTGTTTTCTTCCTTCCCCTTTCTGTTTTCTTTTTTCTTTCCTTTCTTTTTTTCCCTTCCTTTTTCTTTGTTTCTCTTCCATTTCTTCCTTTTCTTTCTTCCTTCTGTTTTCTTCCCCTTTGTTTTCTTTCTTTTTTCTTCTTTCTTTCTTTCCTTTCTTTTTCTTTTTTCTTCCTTTTTCTTTGTTTCTCTTTCTTCCTTTTCTTTCTTCCTTCTGTTTTCTTCCTTCCCCTTTCTGTTTTCTTTCTTTTTTCTTCTTTCTTTCCTTTCTTTTTCTTTTTTCTTCCTTTTTCTTTGTTTCTCTTCCATTTCCTTTTCTTTCTTCCTTCTGTTTTCTTCCTTCCCCTTTCTGTTTTCATTCTTTTTTCTTCTTTCTTTCCTTTCTTTTTCTTTTTTCTTGCTTTTTCTTTCTCTTCCTTTTTCTTCCATTTCTTCTTCCTTTTCTTTCTTCCTTCTGTTTTCTTCCTCCCCCTTTCTGTTTTCTTCCTTCTTTCTTTCCTTTTTCTTTTTTCTTCCTTTTTCTTTGTTTCTCTTCCTTTTTCTTCCATTTCTTCCTTTCGTCCTTTTCTTTCTTCCTTCTGTTTTCTTCCCCTTTCTGTTTTCTTTCTTTTTTCTTCCTTCCTTCTCTTCCTTTCTATTTTTTTTTTCTTTTTCCTTCCTTTCTTCTTTGTTTCTCTTTCTTTCTTTTCTTTTCTTTCCAGCTGAAGATCTGGTGCCAGATTCCGAAAGTGAAGGAAGCACCTCCCCTTTTCAGGTGAGGAAGAAGCTGGTCGATGGTGGNCAGAAAGCCCAGTCGCCTCTTGATTTGATTTGATTTGATTTAATGAATTTATAGGCCGCCCAATCCCGAAGGACTCCGGGCGGCTTACAGAAAATGAATTTTAAAAAGTAAAGAGTTAAAAAACGGAGGAAGGAACAGATTAAAAAAAAACACCACATCATGCACCCAGTCTAATCGGGGCTGGACCTCGGTCATGAGGTCAACAACCCCCAGGCCTGCCGGAATAGCCAGGTTCTGCAAAAAGCACCTTTGGGACTACAAAGCCAGGTGTGCTGGGCATCCCTGTGGGCCTTGATACAATAAAGACTGTCTTGTTTGTGTGTGTGTGTGGCTTTTAGGAACACCTGGAAACGGATTACGGGGAAGTTTTCATGGAAGAGGTGGAGAACCTCTTCTGCGATTATCTCCACGAGATGGAACAAATCCTCCCACAGCCCCAATTCCAGATGGTAAGAAAAGGGGGAAGGAAAAAATCCACGAGTCGGAACGATAGCCGATGGGGGTTGAAAGGAAGGGCAGTTTGGGGCAATGGCCTTGCACATGGGGCTTTGTACCCTCCCCCCCCTGCTCCCCTCCCCCCCCCAAAAGCCACCAGCCTTGGCTGAACGAATTCCAGGTAGCCTTCGACTTATGACCAACATTTATATCGCTAAGTGAAATGTCTCTTCAGTGAGATTGGCCCCATTTTACGACCTTTCCTTTGTCGACACCGTTAAGTGAATCCCTGCCGTTGTTAAGTCAGTAACTGGGAGTTCCAGTGCCGCCTTAGGCATGCAAGCAGCTGGGCGATTTTGGGCCAATCGCCAGGAGACTTGGGACTTCTAGTCCTATCGTAGGCAGGAAAGACAACTGGGTGGCTTTGGGCCAATCACCAGGAGACTGGGAGTTCTAGTCTTCTCTTAGGCACGAAACCCAACCGGTTGACTTTGGACCAATTACTAGGAGACAGGGAGTTCTAGTTCTGTCTTAGGCAAGAAAGCCAGCTGGGAAACTGGGCCAATCACCAGGAGACTGGGAANTTTTTTTTTCTTTTTCCTTCCTTTCTTCTTTGTTTCTCTTTCTTTCTTTTCTTTTCTTTCCAGCTGAAGATCTGGTGCCAGATTCCGAAAGTGAAGGAAGCACCTCCCCTTTTCAGGTGAGGAAGAAGCTGGTCGATGGTGGGATAGTGGGCAGGATAAAGACCAAACTTTGGTAGAAGGGGAAGAATAGAGGCAGGGAGGGGAAACACTCTTGGCTTCCATACTGAAGGCCTGGACTCGGTGGCATTAAAGCCACTGTAACCCCATAGATTGTGGGATCCTCGGGGCTCACTGATCTTATTTGCTTTCTAGAAGACATTTCATGACCCAGCTAGGTAACATCATCAGTGCTAAAAAGAGTGTGGAGGGGAAGAGAAGGACTATGGGGCCCTTGGGGCTCTCTGAACCTGGCTGTTTTCTTGCAGACCTTTCATAACCCAACTAGGCAATGCCATTAGTGCTTGAAGGGAGTTGGGTGTGCAGAATGGAGAAGGGAAGTGAGGAGTTGGGGTGGGGGGGGGAGTTGATGTTCTGATCTAGGCTTCCTGATACAGTAAAAAGCACCCAGTCCCCAAAACCCTCTTTATTTCAAAGGCTGTGAATTATATGAGTCCCAAATAGTTGTTAAGAGTCCTACAGTAGGCTGCCAAAGTCTTTCGGGATAAGGCTGATAAGCACCCACCTTTATCTCCCTTGAAACGCTGCCAAAGACTTAAAGGGCAATTAGCTTGGCAAGGCCACACGGAGCACAGAGTCCAAACGGAGCTTCAGAAGGTAAACTGACTAGCATGAACCAAGTTGCTTCCTGCAAAAGGCTCACGTGCCTTTGCTCCTCCTTTATGTCCTATGGGAGGGGCCAAGCGCCTCCAGCCCTTACTCCCAAGTCGTCCCTTCTGTCCTAACCACTCTTGCCTTCTGGCAGCTCGGCGCATGCACGCATTGGGAACAGGGGGAGCCTGCTCCTCTGCCTCGCTGCTGTCCCACTCTGGAGACTCCGGAGGCAGCACAGAACTCCCAGATGGCCCTGGCCCCCTCTCTGCCTCCGACGCAGAGCCCTCCTCCGAGCCTTCCCCAGACTCCAGGACTGGCCTATGTCCCTCCCCAGCCTCCTCACTGTCCAACTCTGCTGCCAGCTCCGCAGGTGACCGGTGGACCACAACACTTGGTGCTAGCCTGGTTCGTTTCTTGCAGATGTCTCATGACCCAACTAGGTAACATTATCAGTGCTAGAAAGTGGGGTTCCCTCTCTATTTACATACTTATTGGCTCCTTGGACCCCGCCTCTACCTCCTCCTTCCCAGATCCTGAGTTCGACAGATGCCTCCTTTGAGGCTGGACACCCTTAAAGAGGGGAGATGTAAAGTGTGCCTTCCTTTTCCCCCCCACCAGGGTGAATACCAGGGTACCCGTCTCTGTGCCCTCGTCCCTACCTTTCAGGAGTATCTCAGGGACAGCAGCAGCCAGTGAGTGAAGTCCATACCCCTTTAAAAGTTG